AGTAGCAATAGAAATAGAAATAAAAAGGAGAGATTCTGTGCAGTTAGAACCAGGATAAAGAGGAAAGCAAATGTGAACATATATATATACACGTATATTTATATAGTATATATATGTGTGTGCGCGCGCATATATATGTGTGTGTATATATATGTGTGTGTATATATATGCGCACGCGCACACATAATGAGATTTTTGAGCTTGGGCAACTGATTAAATAGTGTTACCTTTGTTTGTAGAACTGAAACAGTTAAAAGAGGGCTGACTTTTGTTTTGGACATGTTGGATTTTTTTTAAGTGCTAAACTAGTGCAGCAGAAATGAAGTCTTAATCTAGTTTACTATCTACCATATGAATTAGCTTCCAGATGATTTTTTCAAATCAAATTTCATGAGAGGCAAGAGTCTCTTTAGCTATTCATTTTTCCTATTTCCTCACCTCATCTCTGCCTTATTTGACATTGAAAAATGTTGACAAAACCATTTTTTGAAGTATTTTAGAAACTGAGGCCCCTGATGGATCAAAAAAATAAGAGGGTCTTTCCAAACTTAATATATAATATATAACATATGTAGAAAACTAAGTGTTGAGACAAATATTAACCAAAGACAGTCTTCAGATGAATAAGACAAGGAAAACAATGTGAAATCACTTTTTTAAAAAGGAAATTACCTTGACACTGCAGAAAGATGAAAAGACAATATAAAAATAATGATAAAAGGAAGCAACCAAGTGTCCATCCATTGATGAATGGATAAAGAAGTGGTAAAGGATGTTATTCAGCCAAAAAAACAAGATCTTACCATTTGTGACAACACGGATGGACCTAAGAGGTATTTTGCTAAGTGAAATAAGTCAGACTATATATATATATAGTCTATATGTATATATAGACTATATACAGACTATATACATATATATATATGATTTCACTCAGATGAACAAACAAAAAAGCATTAATGGACCCATAAATACAAAGAACAAACTGATGGTTGCAAAGGACAGGAGGCAAAATGGGTGAAGGGGAGTGCGAGGTACAGGCTTCCAGTTATGGAATAAATAAGTCACGGGAATAAAAGGTACAGCATAGGAAATATAGTCAATGGTACTGTAATAGCCTCGTATGGTGACACATGGTAGCTATAAATTGTGCACCAACCATTCTCTCTCACTCCATCTCCCTCTGCCCCTCCCCTGCTTGTGCTCTCTCTCAAAATAAACAAACATTAAAAAAAAAAAAAAAAAAAAAAAAAAGAACAGGGGCACCTGGGTGGCTCAATCAGTTAAGCGTCTAACTTCAGCTCAGGTCACGATCTAATGGTTCATGGGTTCAAGCCCCGCATCAGCCTGTGTGCTGAAAGCTCAGAGCCTGGAGCCTGCTTCAGATTCTGTGTATCCCTCTCTCTGCCCCTCCCCTGATTGTGTTCTGTTTCTCTCTCTCTCTCAAAAATTAACTAACATTAAAAAAAAAAGAACATATAAAATAATAACCACAAAGAGAAGAATTATGTTTACCACAGTCATAAAACATAAACGAAAATATACCAAGAAATCTACTTAAAAATCACTGATTTAAAATATGAAATTTTTTGGCAAAAATTCACATTATGTAAATAATTTAGTTTCAATATGTATTCTAAGATTTTTATTTGTTTATTTTTTAAAGTTTAATGTTTTATTTTTGATAGCAAGAGAGACAGAGCACAAGCAGGGGAGGGGCAGAGAGAGACGGAGACACAGAATCTGAAACAGGCTTCAGGCTCTGAGCTGTCAGCACAGAGCCCAATGCAGGGGCTCAAAATCACAGACAGAAAGATCATGACCTGAGCCAAAGTCGGACAATGAACCGACTGAGCCATCCAGGCGCCCCCAAAATTTTTATTTTTTTTAAATAATCTCTACACCCAAGGTGGAGCTCGAACTCACAACCCTAAAATCAAGAATCACATGTTCCACCAGCCAGGCACCCCTCAATCTGTGTTTTCAACCTATGATCAAGGATCACCAGATATTAAGGAAGAGAGAAACTTTTGAGTGGCAATACTGTATATGTTGTACATATGCTCAAATTTTAGCTCTAAAAAACTCAACATTTTCATACAGACTTAAAGGCTCTTGTATCAAACGTGGAAGTATGACATTTAACCTGAAAACACTGAGTATTTACAAATAAAAATTATAAAAGTATTTTCAACACAAGAATTCTATCCACTAAAGCTCACGGGGCGGGGGGGGGAGCGGGGGGGAGGGGAATCTACCACTGCCATCACTATTGTTTACAAAACACTGGATAGCAACAACAAAAAAAGTATGACAAGAAAGTAAAATAGCATAAATATGCTTAATTTCAAAAATTCATACATTGGAGATGCCCTGCAACATTACTAATGAAATAAATGGACACAACTCCAGCTATATGTTGAATATTTCTCAAAAACCTCGAGAAGATCAAAAAAAAAAATACATGAATAGAATAACTGTGAGTAACTCAAACTGTAACGTTCAAAGTATAAAGCTCAAATTGTAAAGTTGTCTGTCACATATCTATAAAAGAATTTTTCTATAGGAGACATTTTTTTAAGAATGGAGAAGGAAGGAAGCTATATTTTCCATTAATTCTCAAAGGCTATTTTATTTTGTGAATCAATTCAACCCACTCTAGTTCATTAATGGTCATTAAATGTTTCCTTGTTATACATTGCTTTTTGTTTTTAGGCAACAAACATTCATTAACTCAGAGTTTCTGAGGATTAGGAATCTAAGAGTGTCTTAGTTGGGTGATTCCAGGTCAAAGTCTCTCACAAGTTGCAGTCAAGTTGTCATCTCTATATAGTACTTTTTAAAGTTATAAAACATGAAGAATTGACTGCCCCTGCCAAAGTTAAATTTCATGATAGTGAACTAAGCTCTGTAACATTTGTTTACGCTGAAAAACCAACAATCTATCACTAATTATCACCTTTTAGTGCATTTTTTGATGTAAAATACTTTCAAAATTGTCTAAATTATACAAATTTCACTTCCAACACTACATTTAAAAATATTTGAAGCCCTATATAATTGAGCTCAATTTGCTAAAGCAAATGCGCCTGGTCTCATGAAAATTTCCTGAGGTATTAAAATAATCAGTATTTTTTAAGTCAAAAAAAAGACAAAATCTGAAGTCATATAGTACAATAATCTACTAAATTATGTATTAACCACACTACAAGATCGTAAACAAGATATATTATTTTTAGCTCCCTACTGAAGACCAGATTTATTTCAATTTGATATTATAAATTAAATTAATGAAGCTAGGGGCTTCAATTCCTTTTATGTGTCTAAAACTGAAAGAGAAAAAAAACATTTCCTAACATTCTATCATAAAAGAAAAGTGCTAGAGAAACTTTCCTTTAAAACCATGCTTCAGGGGCGCCTGGGTGGCTTAGTCGGTTAAGCGTCCGACTTTCACTTAGGTCATGATCTCGCGGTCCGTGGGTTCGAGCCCCGCGTCGGGCTCTGTGCTGACTGCCAGCTCAGAGCCTGGAGCCTGTTTCAGTCTGTGACTCCCTCTCTCTCTGACCCTCCCCTGCTCACACTGTCTCTCTCTCTGTCTCCTAGAAATAAATAAAACATTTAAAAAATAAAAATAAAAAAATAAAACCATGCTTCAGACATCCCTTTCAGTGCCTTGATAAAGACATCATACAGGAAAGCATATGCTTCTAATTTAAAGGTTCCTTTTGGTATTTCAATTTGAATAGATCACAATATGCCATAGAAAAGAGCACACTTATTTGAAAGTTTTCTACAGTTAATTCTTCAAGATTAGTCATATTAGTAATATTTGTCAACATTACTGCTTCTTTATAAGAAGTACATAGCATTCAATTCCCTCCATACTTTAAAATCAATCTCCCATCTCTTTCTCCGAAATAGAACATCATTCTATTTAGCCAAAAGAAAACAGCAAACACATCTTTGTGGTCTATTCTGGCGAATCAGTGTTTAAAAACCAAATGCAACTGCTATTAATGGCTCAGAACCAAACTCTAACAACAAAACACACTGAGCGGATCCTCCGTGTGTGTGTGTATTCGCCCATTCATAATAATGTGATCCTCATACATGCATACAAAATTTCAAATTCTACTGAACACCAAAACATCTTTACATAATACACAGGTTATAAGAACATAGCTCTTTCATGTTTAAAGAAAGAACAGTTTCTAAAGCGAAGGATGAGAAGAGTTAATGCCGGGATTGCTGCCATCTATCAACTTTAATTCAAAGCGAAGTACAACTCAATGTCATTTTTACCTCCAATGCAGCCACGACTGAAACAAAATTAACTTCACTGAGCGATACAGTATGCTGGCATCCCAATGGATTATTTACTTCTCTGATTTGACAGTACAAACGTGTGGAGTCTTTTGTCCCTCCCACAGCACCCAGGGGGTCAACATCATCCTTGTCAAGGTAAATGACAAGCAAATCCCTCAGGTCATTACTTCGCACCTTAAGTACCAGAAAGTCACGGCCTTCATTGCCGTTACTACAGAGCAACCAGACTTTATAGTCCCATGCCTCCTTCTTTTATATTTGGGGAGGCGGAGTGCGAAAGAAGCGCTCAGTGTATCCTGAGTACCCTCTGTGTTCAGCCCTGGTACCAGAAGCAGCACAAATACAAGCAATATATGGGTCACCTACAGAGAGAGAAACAGACGAAGCTTCGTAACCCTCCAAGTTCAGTCAAGACACCGAAAGCCTCTCAGGAAACCAGGCACAAGCCTTCGGGTAAACGGTGTAAAAGCAGACTGTCTCCGAGGTGGAGTGACTAGGTCTGGCACAAGCCCAGGGCGTGGGCAGCGACCGAAGAGTCTCTCGTACCCTTCCCCTCCGCATCAGGGTCGGTCATTCTGCGAGGGGTGCGGCCGGAGGCGGTGGTCAGGACTGGGGGAGGGCGGGGCCCAGGGCGCCCCAGAGGTGTCCGGGGGCTTCGGGGGGGTGTGTCCTACCTGGGCCGTGGCGGACGCAGGGATTTCGGGCGGAAGGCTCGGATCCAGCTCAGGACCAGGACCGAGAGGAATCAACTCTCAGCAGGCGGGACCACCGCCGCCTGCCCATCCCCCGCCGCCGACTGCGGCGGGACCCGAGCGCGGCTTCGAGCGCCAGCCGGCTGGGTAGTCCCCTCGGGTACCGTCCGCGTTTACTGGCGGCGGCGGCGGCTGCTGTTAATGCTGCTGCTGGCCGCCCCCAGCCGCTGCTCTTGTGCCAGCCCCTTCTCCTCCTCCTGCCGCCGCCGCCGCCGCCTCGTCCCCACCGCTCCCATCGCCGCTGCGGCGACTACTGCAGCGCCCGCTGACCCGACCCGACGTTATTCCCCCCTTCGCAACCCGGCACAGCCTAGCCCACCTGCCCTGCCAGTGCGCACGCCCACCTCTCTGCCACAGGTGCTGATTGGAGAGCACGACCCGAACCCGCCACGTCGGTTGGCTGGTCCCATTGCCTATCACGAAGGAGGCGGAGAGTTAAGCCGGGAGCGTCTCCGCCCCCCACCGGAGAATTGCCGCTATCTTCAGGTTTGCCTGAGAGGACGAGTTACCGGGAAAGGAGCATCACAATGGCAGCGCGCGTGCGCGCAGGAATTCTGGACCTTGTAGTTCCAGCCACAGCCGCAACTGCCCACCGGTCCGGAACCTAGAAGTAGAGCTCCTGAGACTAGTGGTTGGCGTATGGTGTCCTCTTAGCTCTGTAGTTAATTTGCTTATAGAGGCATGACTGTGACCCCAGGATTGGGCTTTTTGGAAGGAAATCTGAAATGCGTTGTCACGGTACGAATTTACCCTGAGGGAGTCAAGAAGAAGGGCCCCAAACCGTGAGGCCCTACCATGCCACCTCCTCAGAACTAGAGCTGCCAGGATCTGACAAATTGGCGCCGTCCCCAGAACCGCCTAACAGGAAGCTAATCACCGGCGGACACTCGGAAGAGGCCCTAAAGGTAGAAGGAGGACAGGAGACCAAGACCTCCAGAAAAGAATACTAGCCTGGAGCCCGAAGTATCGTTACCGCAACCCGTGAAAAACCAGATTTCCTTCCCTTTTTCAAACACCACTAGCAAGGGGTACACACCCCCTGTGAGGACCAGTATGGAAATCTAAGCAAGACAATGCAAGAGTCCCTTGAAGACTTTCAAGGAAAAGCGAGGAGAGCAGAGCAATGAGGCTGTATGGGATAAATTTTTATTAGGTGTTGATTGTATCAAGCTAGTTCGTGAGGAAGAAACCCCACTCCCGTCCTTACCCACCAATTTAAAGAAGAAAAATCTCAAAAGAGGTTAAGCAACTTTCCAAGGCTATAAAACTATTTAGTGGCCGAACCAAAACTCAGGTCTCTTGTTTAGTTGTTGTTGTTGTTTATTTATTTTATTTTAGAGAGAGCGTGAGCAGGGGTGAGGGGCAGTGGGAGAGAGATAATCTTAAGCAGGATCCCCATTCAGGGCAGAGCCCGTTGCAGGGGCTGGATCCCACCATCCTGGGATCATGACCTGAGAGTCAGAGGCTCAAGACTGAGCCACACCGATGCCCCTAATTATTTAAGTCATCTTTATCCCCAACATGGGACTTGATCTCACAACCCCAAGATCAGGAGTTGTTCCCGCGCCTCCAAATGAGCCATCCGGGCACCTCAAAACTCAGGTCTCTTAAACTTACTCCTGTGTCCAATGCATTGTTTTACTTAATAATCAAAATGACTCCCAGGAGTCTGATGGATTGAAAGGATGCAATGACTTATGAACTTCGTTTTACATTAAATATTTTTCTTCACTCAAGTGACATTATGATTAAAACTAATTAATTGAGAGTAGGAAAGGTTAAATATAAATCGTATATTCAGTCTCAGAGCTGTTAGAGAATCTGTTTCTTCTCGTTCGGGAAATGCCACAGTCAGTCTTTCCACATTCTTTAAAAAACAGCAGACACCTCTACAGTCATGCCTAGATCCTTGGATAAAAAGCAGGACAAAGTGTACATTGTGTACATTAAAGGCAATTGGTGACGCAGCTTATCTTGTTCCGCTCATACTTAAAGAAGTTGCCAAGTTGTTTCCACTGATTAAAACCACAAGTTGTTTTCCCATTACTTTGTCTAACAGAATATAGTTCACTTCAGAATATTGGCTGGGCAAGTAATTTGAACTGGAAGGGATTAGGATTTCTGCAAATGTTTTTTTTTTTTTAATTAAAGAAATTTATAGGGGGAAAGTTCAGATTTATTGAAATTCTGCCTCGTAACATTTCAAATAGCTATTCTCAGTTCAAAGAGAATATTTTTCACTCATTTAGCAAATGCAGGGTGTCCTCTTCAAGCTACCCAGATAAAATCTCTGCAATCATGGGTAAGAGTTTTAATTAATGTATCCACAGAACTACTATTTTGTTTATTTTAAATGAGTCAGTAAATACAGCTGGATTCTCTAAATATGGAAAGATGATTATTCTTCTGATTGTTCTTTTGTAACCAACTCCATTTGCAAATCCATGAAGGGTAAGGTAATAGAAAAGTATGTGAGAAAACAATCCAGTAGCCATGTATCAAGAACAAATTTTTTTTTTTTAATGCAGTGCAGAGGGAATTGTTCTAGGATGACTATCTTAAGAACAGGGCAACAGAGTATATCAGAGTGGAAAGTGTAAGAAGGAATATATAGTAAAAAAAAATAAAGAATAAATACTTAGTGAAAGTTAATGCAGCGGGAGTGGTAATCCTGTGATACTGAACTGCCCAAAGGAGAACCTTGCCAGGCGCCTTTTTTCTTGGTCTTTTCCATTTAAGAAGATTTGAGGCAGCTCTTTCTGCCCATGGGTCCTGTTTCTGTGCTTTAATAAAATCACCTTTTTTATTTTTTAATTCATTTTTAATGTTTATTTTTGAGAGAGAGAGAGACAGAGTATGAGCTGGGCAGGGGCAGAAAGAGAGGGCACACAGAATCTGAAGCAGGCTCCAGGCTCTGAGTTGTCAGCACAAAGCCTGACGCAGGGCTCGAACTCACAAATCACGAGATCATGACCTGAGCCGAAGTCAGACGCTTAACCGACTGAGCCACTCAGGTGCCCCTAAAATCATCTTTTTTAAACCAAAGGGGAAAAAAAGAAGTACTGAATTGTCTCCAAAGGCATTTTTCATCTTAAAAAAATTTTTTTAATGTTTTATTTATTTTTGGGAGAGAGAGACAGCGTGAGCAGGAAAGAGTCAGAGAGAGAGGGAGACACAGAATCTGAAGACAGGCTCCAGGCTCTGAGCTGTCAGCAAAGATCCCGACGCAGGGCTCAAACCCAGGAACCATAAGATCATGACCTGAACCGAAATCAGACACTTTACCAACTGAGCCACCCAGGCGCCCCCGAAAGGCAATTTTCAATTGGGATAAACGGCAAGGTAATATATTTTTCAAGAGCTGGTACTAGAATTTTGAAATAGATAGAAACATCTCAAATATTTGAGTGTATTTATTTATTTTGAGAGACAGCAAGCAAGGGAGGGGCAGAGAGAGAGGGAGAGAGAATCCCAAGCAAGCTCCATACTGTCAGTGCAGAGCCCTATGCAGGGCTCGATCCCATAAGCCATGAGATCATAACCTTATTAGAAACCAAGAGTCAGACGCTTAACCAACTGAGCCACCCAAGCACGCACACATGCATGCACATGTACACACACACACACACATACATATATAATATAAATAAATGTAATGGCCAGCCTCTAAGATGGCCTGCAATGATCCCTTCTTCCTGGTATGTTCACCCTTATGTAGTTCCTCCCATAATGAATTGAGCTAACCTGTGTAACTAATAGACTTCTTCAGAAATTATGGTATGTAAAGGGGTGCCTGGGTGGCTCAGTTAAGTCTCCAACTTCAGCTCAGGTCATGATCTTGGGGTTTGTGGGTTCGAGGCCTGCATCAGGTTCTGTGCTGACAGCTCAGAGCCTGGAGCCTGTTTCAGATTCTGTGTCTCCCTCTCTCTCTGTTTCTCCCCCACTCGTGCTCTGTCTCTCTCTGTCTCGAAATTAAATAAAACCAAAAAAAAAAAAAAGAAATTATGATATGTAAATTCCAAAACTATATTAAGACTTTGCACTATCAACAAGAGCCAAATTATTGCTCATTAGAGCCCTAATGTCCATCGAATGATGAATGGATAAAGAAGATTTGGTATGTACATACAATGGAATACTACTTGGTGATCAAAAGGAGTGAAATCTTGCCATTTGCAACAATGTGGATGGAACTAGAATGTATTATGCTAAGTGAAATAAGTTAGTCAGAGAAAAACAAATACCTTATGATTTCACCCATATGTGGAATTTAAGAAACAAAACAGATGAACAGAGGGGAAGGGAAGGAAAAATAAAATAAAAACAGAGAAGGAGGAAAACCATAAGAGACTCTTAAATACAGAGAACAAACAAGGGTCGCTGAAGGGGAGGTGGGCAGGGGGTGGTACAGGCTAAATGGGTGATGGGTACTAAGGAGAGCACTTGTGGTAAGCACTGGGTGTTGCATGTAAGAGATGAATCACTAAATTCTACTCCTGAAACTATTGTTACACTACCGTTAAGTAACTCAGATTTAAATAAAACTTAAAAAAAAAAGACTTTTCAGCTTCTGCTTTATGCTCTCTTGAATCACTTTCTTAGAGAGAAGCCATTTGCCATAACATCAGGATGTTTGAGTAGGTATCCCTTAGGAGTGTCTGCCTGGCCAGGAACTGAGGCATTACACCAAAAATCAGCACCAGATTGCCAGCCATGTTAATGAACCATTCTTGAAAACCTATCCTCCACCCGGAGCCAAGCCTTCAGATGACTGCAGGCCCTGCTGGCATCTTGACTGCCATCTTGTGAGCTACCCCAGTCCAGAACTACCCATCTAAGCCATTCCCAAAATCCAGACCCACAGAAACTATATAATATGATAAATGTTTACTGTTACTTTAAGCCCTCGGTTTTGGAGGACAATTTGTCATGTAGCAATTCATAACCAGTACAATAAAATTTACAAAAATAAGAAAATGAGGAATGATTCAAGTCTAGGGATATCTGCCCTGGATAACTGAGTCTGAAACAATGAGATCTGGTCCTAGGATCATTCTTAGAGCATATTCAAAGAAAATGAGCAAATTTAAGATTTATGCTGATGCCCCACCAAGAACATAATAGCCCCTTTCAAAGCAGCTTTTTTTCTCTTAGCACAGAATAAATCACATATTAAGAGAATGCTTTTTCTTTTTCTTTTCCTCCATATGTGGCCGCGCCTCTACCCATCTTTAGA